ATACGTCCGGTAAACGGACACCCACGCAAAACTTATGGCGGAAGATTGCTTGCAGAAAGTGGTTTTTAAGAACACAAGATTTCCAGAAACTGGTACAGCGTGAGGCTGGTCATCACCCACCAGAGGGAAAGAGCGGATGGACGAACCTAAATTGGGATTGCGATTGGGGTCTGGGAGAAAGGCCACCAAAAGCGGGCCAACAAAGGTCCGATGCCAATGAGAAAGGCACATCCTGAATCCATCCAATCATGTGAGGGTGGGGTGGTTAGTAACCCAGGATTTAGGACAGAGAGCGCCAAAATTAGGTGTATGTCAGGCCGGTGTTAAAAATGCGGAGCCCCCAGAGGCTCTGGGTTTGGGAGGTGTTGGGATGTGACTCAAGAGTTTGCGTTGTTTCTCAGATAACAGACGCGGGAGGCTTGTCAGAGACAATCCATGGAAACCATTATTAAATGTTATGTGGTTACAAATACTGATGGGTGACTCCCCTCAGTAGATTTGTCTTAGCTCAAATTATACCCAGAAAAGCCCATGGAGGGGTAAGGAGGAGGGAATAGAGCCTTGCCTATAACTAACTATTCATTAATATAAATCAGTATTACTAGGCTTTATTTTTCTTCATAGGACTTAACGCTTTCTTACATTACATAACACATTTACTCTGCCTCCATAAAGGCAGTTCCTTTGCCTATTTTATTCACTCATGTATCCTCATTGTACAGAACAGTGCCCTGTGTTGTGTTGGTGCTTTAAAATATACCTGAAGGAATGAATACCAATATCCTAGTATTTCATATTGAATTCTGAGACAGACACAGGATGGGAAATCTCTCCTTCCAGAGAGAACCCACTGTTTATAACTTGGATAGGTGAATAACTATATGATAGTTACTTGATAAGGAGAGGCCAATCCCAGAAGAGGGAGAGTAAATAATGAAGAGAAAGCACGTCTCAGTTCAGCAGTGAACAGTGGAGCTGGAATCTTTGATATGGTGGCAACTCTCAAGGGTGATAGTTCTGTAGGTAAATAACAAAGGTTCTTCTCCGTGACATCCCCTAGGGATCTCACTTCCCATCTCCTATATTCTCTATTCTTACAGACTGAGGTTCTTGTCCTCCTGTTTATGGTATGTATTCTGAGGATCCATTTTCTTTTCTGCTCTGCCTGGTGTATATTCAGTTATTGAGTTGCTAATCACACTCAGTTTGGAAGGAGACATCTGTATTATTTAGAATTGCCTCTGAAGGACTCATTCCTTCTTTTGATGACAAAACATTCCGACTAGTCCATTGGCTAATTCACTCACTTTCCAAATCAACATATTTGTCTTAAGTTTTCTGTGCTGGGAATATAAAACCATGTAAACCAATACTCCCCAAGATAACTTTCTGGGAATTATAATAGATGTCTCTCAGTCTGCTTTTTAGCCATATAGTTAGCTATATATAGTTAACCATATAGGTAGCTGTCCAGTGAGGTAGCCACTAGTTACATACTGCTGCTGAGTACTTGAAATTTGGTTTAGTGCAATTGAGGAACTGATTTTTTTGTTTTTAAAACTTTAAAATTTAAACAGCAAAAAAAATTACCAAGGAATTTTTAACCTATTTGGGAGATAAGACATGGACATGAAAAAAATAACTTACATCCTAAACTGCTTTAAAGTCCATTAAGAGTCCTTGCCCTCCCTTGAAGTAATATACCCTTTGGACAAGAAATTCTCATAACCCCTTGAGCCAATTATAGTGATCATCCCTTATCCATGGTTTGGCTTTCAAGGCGTTCACCTGAGGTCAAATGTGGTCTAGAAGCAGATGATCCTCCTCCTAACATCCACAGTAGCCTAACGCTAAAACCATCACAACTCCTACACATCACTTTATATCTCGTAGGCATTTTATCATCTCACATCATCACAGGAAGAAGGGTGGGGACAAGACAATAAAATGTTTTGAGAGAACACATTCACATAACTTTTATACAGTATGTTGTTATAAGTGTCCTATTATTACTGATGTTAATTTCTGTGTGTAATTCATAAATTAGACTATCACAGGTGTCTGCATATAAGAAAAAACATACTATGGGGGCACCCGGGTGGCCCAGTTGGTTGAGCACCTGACTTTGGCTCAGGTCATGATCTTGTGGTTCATAAATTCAAG